GGGGTTTGGGGGAAAAACCCTCTCCAGAGAGAAATTCGGGATTTGGGGGATGAACCGAGCTTGGACAGAGGGTGAAAAACGGGGTCCGTAGAAACAGGGACACCCCATCCTAATCCTTGAGAAACTTCGGGAATGTCCACCCGCGGATCCCCGTGAGCAGATTTGGGGTGCGGGAGGCCGAGGGTGTGAGGGGAAGGAGCAAAAAGCTCTGTCAAACGCATAAAGAGCTGGAAAAGAGAAGGGAAAAGCCGCTCCCGGGGTGCTCTCGCACATTTTTCACGCCTGGATTCCGCCGGCAGCGCGGGCAGCTCCCGGCGGGGCGCGCCAGGAACTTCACGGGCTTTTGGCTGCTGGGTGGAAGTGGGAAAACGCAAAAAAAAACCAAAAAAAAAAACAAAAAAAAAAAAAAAAGGAAAAAAAATATCCCTAAAAATAACCCCAGCGCTGCCCACGCGGCCGCGGCCCCACGGTCCTAAAATCCCACAGCGGGGATGGGACTGAGCGCTCCGGTCCCCGACACCACCGAAATGGGGATTTGGGGTGGCCGTGGGTGGGCAGGGGGTGGCAGGGGGTGTATGGGGGGTGAGGAGAGCCCGTTTGGGGTGATTGGGGTGTCCGGAATATTTGGGGTCCCCGTGGTGCTCGGGGTGTCCAGGGTAGCTGGGTTTTGGGGTGTTTGGGGTATTTGGGGTACCTGGAGTTCTCAGGGTACCGTGGCTCTCCAAAACGGCAAAAAAGGGGATTTATGGGTAAAACGGGAAATCTTGGAGCAGGGGAACACGAGGAAAGGACCCTGGCTCGGGGCACCACCGGCTCTGCCACACCCGCTCCCCACACGAGCCCCCCAAAAGCGGGACGCGGGCATCCCAAAGAGCTCCCCGGTGCTTCCCGGGGTTTATCCCGCATTCCCGGCTCGGTGTGGGGCTGGAAATGGGATTCGGGTGGGAGGGAATGGGGCGGGATTGGGATGGATTGGGATGGATCGGGAATGGTCGGGCAGGATCGGGAAGGGTCGGGATGGATCGGGAAGGGTCGGGATGGATCGGGAAGGATCGGGCAGGATCGGGACAGGATCGG